AAATGCCTTTCGTTTAAAGAGCTCAAGGTGACATGCAGCTCTCTATTATGCCTTTCCTTTTGTTCTCACAACAACCCTGTAAAGGGATTGTGGGACTCTGGAAACAAAGGAATTGGCCCTCTCCACGACTGGTCAGAATTTGAATCTGGGTCTCCTGATTTCGAACCACTGGTCAGTGCCAGGCACTGGGTGTTCTTTACCTTTGTTCAAGTGAAGGAAATCTTGTTGCTTAGTCAATTTCAGGGGCAGATTAGGATGGACTCCTTTTTTTTTTTTTTAAAGAAACTACTATCATTACTACTACTATCATTACTACTATTAAAGGAACTACTAGATAATGACAAATTACCTACAATAAGTTTTTCTGGTTCCAGTGTATCTATTAGTGGAACCAGTTTGGTACTTGTTCCCATTTCATTCTCATAAATGTTCCTAAACCCAGTGTAAATCTAGTCCTGTCTAGTTACAAGGTGGAGTTGTAATGATACACTCGCTTATTGCCCCCATAATACTATATAAGAAAAGGCAACCAATGTCTGCCACATTTGTTGAACTGCAATTCCCAGCATCCCCCATAACGAGCAGCTTGGCAGGGGTTGCTGAGAATTGTGGTTCAACAGCAGCTAGAGGGCCACAGATTCCCCACCCCGGCTGATCAATCCCTGCAGAGGACTGCAGAGGGTCTGTGTCTTGAATGCCATCCTCACAATTTCCTGGAGTCCACTTGAAATCTTTGAAATGTGGTGGCCATAACATTACATGTTGTTATTTTGCCCCTTACTAACTCAGCAATCATTTTGGGAGGATTTTTGTTAATTTGCTTCCTAGATGTCTTGACCATTCAAGGAACTAACCTCGCCTTGAACAATTGGCTTCGTACATTGTGCTAAGCCAGGTGTTCGGCTTTGTGCAAGTTGTGTGCAAACAAAGCCATAATGAACAAGACATCTAAACCAGGGTTTATGGCTTATTGTGATTTGGGAACCAGACAGCAATGTTCCCTTCAAACAGCATTTGCAGCAAACTTCATCTAAGAGCAAGGTGTGAAACTATCCAAAAATGTGTGACACAACAGACAACTGAGAAGCAACAAAGTGCTTCCAAGGAAGGAAAGAACCAGCATTAATTACAAAGAACTGAGCCCTGTGCCCAATTTCTTCTCCTCAAAACCATCCTGGTTTTCCTTTAATTCTGTCCCCCCCCCCTCAAGTTAGGAACACAAATCTTCCCCATTCACATTTGTTTTATTGTGGGTAGTTTGCCCCCTCGTGCTGCTTCCTCTTTAGAAGATAATGGAAAGAGGGGGGAAATACCCTCTCTCCTATACCAATTACTGTATAAGTACCAATTTGAATATAACTCCTCGTTAGGAAAGAAGTAGTTTTCACAATGCAAAGTGTTTTAATGTTCTCTTATTATCTCTGGGTGGGTGTATTTTTCTATCTTGTACCCCATCGACCAAATGAAGCGTTTATGGCGACTCCTCCCCCCCTTCACTTCCTGTTTTTTAGCTCTTAACACTCGCTGTAGCTGCATTCAGTGCCGCAATGCAGTAGAGCTGTAAATACCTTTAACAGCTGCCTGCCAACCAAGGAGTGAAATACTGTCTTTGTTCGGAATCTCTCTCCCACCCCCCTATCCCAGCTCCAGGATCTCATAAAACAGCCCACCAGAAATACATTTCTCTCAGAAATCACACAAACACAAAGCAAATCAATAAGAAGCCATGAAACGAATGAATATGTGTGTGTGTGAACACACCCACCCACACATACTCATCTTGCAGGACAATATATACACAACTAGTGGTTTAAGTGTTATTTTTGTCCTCCTTGCTTCCCATACAAAACATCTGCAACCATATGATCATCAAGAATGAGTGGTTTTATGCCATACAAATTACCCTTTACACAAATACTTCTTCCTCTTCTCCCCATTTTTCATATTTAAATTTTAGGCAGCTGATGAATATACATACATACATACACACACACACACACACACACACATATATATATATGCACATAAACACACACACACACATATGTGTGTGTGTGTGTACGAGGCTTCATTTTGTTAAAACACTAATGTTATGAATTTTCTTTGAAAAATGAATAGAGCTTGATAGCACTGGACCCTAAGAGGTACATTTGTACAATTTTGGACATATCTTAATGGAACTTAAAATGAGAAGGAATCTGATAGCATTTTCCCCAACTAACAAATAGCATGTTTTTTGTGAAGAAGCAAGCCATCTCAAAGATATTTGCTAAGTACTTTTTTTTTTTTTTTCAAAAGGAGAGAAAAGATTGGCCTGAAACCAATGGAATTTCTTCCACTGGAGGGACATGTCCAGAAGTTGGAATTGGATCCAGAGTCTTGTCAACTTAGCCTATTAATTAGTTCCTATTATGTATCCCAAAATAGTCTCTTTCCATCCCTTGAATTTAGATAGGAAAGAAGAATTACTTTTATCTAAGTACTAATCTTAATCGAGTTATGGATTGAGACAGATTTCCAGCTGAACAACCCCACAGCGAAAGGGATGCGAACAATAAGATTTCAGGAATTAAATCCTAAATACCTCTAGCTAAGGTGTATATTGTGTCATCAATGCTGCTACACTAAACTCAATTCTAATGGCTAGCGTTATGGGGGAGGAGAAATGTATAGCAGAACAAAAAGTGGGTGGACTTCTCTAATCACAGATGAATATTATTGTTTGTAATGCTTTGCCAATCTCATGTATAAATGGGAGCCATTACAATGTACAGTAATCCTACAATCACCTTGCAGTTTGGACTAGAGTTTGTAATGATGTTTTATTCTTCCATCTGGAATGGTTGCTAATATTTAGAAAGTAATTAAAAATATACATTCAAATATACATTTCCTTTTAATAATTCAAGAGAAGGACAAAATTAAACACTTCATATTTTTCAGCATAAACTGCAAAAAAAGAGGATTATTCCTATCATTCTAGTTGGTTATTGAACCATTAACATTTTATAATACAGTATTTGTATATAAATTCAGAAATAATATAATTCTAGGTATTACATTATGCATTTGTTTTTCAATGAGATAATAAATAACAGACTTTGGGGAACTGTATTAATTTTATTTAGGCATATATAGAAAAGCAAAACATTTTTCCTTACCCAGGCAACAATGCAGAAACTATCGTACATTGCAAAGAATGAATATTTAAAAAGTAAAAGACAATAACATTATTGGGCAAATACAATATATTGTCTGCAATCTTACCTATATTTATTTAGCAACAAGTCTTACTGAAATAACTTACTTACACATATCAGGGATATAGCTGGAAAAAAAAATCCATCTGCTGTTATCATGAACACAACAGATCCTCGGATCATCCCAGTACATGCATATACACACCCACCCACAGTTCACTCAGTTAGGCATAGGCTGAATTACATATTAGTAATGTCTGAATCCTAAATGTGTGTACTCCATTTTTATTTGACCATAATGGATATCATTCATATCTGTGCATTTCCCCCCATTGCACTGTACCATTGAAATCTATTTTTCAGTGCAGATCAGATTTGTAGCACTGTATGCTATGGAACAGTTTAATTGCTCCGCTTGAAATACAGGCACTCAAGCGAGCGAACAAAAGAAAGAAAGAAAAAGGGAAAAAAAGATCCCATTTTTAAAAAGCGGCCAGGAATCCCAGCATAAAAGCACTGTCTGGAGAGAATCGCCCACCCAACCCACCCTCGCGTTCCAAAAGCAACCAGAAATGTAACGCGAACCTGGGCTGTCGTTTTCTGCCTTGCGAGGGAAGAAGGAAGGCTCGAGCTGTCGAGACATCTCGGCGCGGCTACTCCGATCGAAAAGGGACGTTTCACTCAGTCGGTGGGATTCCCGCACCTAATCTGCCAGAGGAGCTCTCTGGCTGGCGCATGAAGGCACAATCACCCTGCAGCAAACCTGGGTGCAAGCCGCACCTCAGGTTTGCGCCTTCTTAGGGACCCGGATGAGACAGGGAGGGAGGGAGGGAGGGGGGAAAGGAGGGAGGAAAGGAGAGCCACCTGTTGCTCATTAGACGCTGGAATTCTACGGTTAGTAGACCAAACATTAAAGGGGGGGGGGGCTGTTCTAAAATAGGGAAGAGAGGAAGCCGCAGAGGAGGGAATTTGGTGAGGGTTTGTTTTTCTTTTGCTCAAAAAGTTCTGGTTCTTTGTGGGTTTGCCTGCTGATAATCTGTCTCTTTCTTTCTTTCTTTCTTTCTTTCTTTCTTTCTTTCTTTCTTTCTTTCTTTCCTTCCTTCCTTCCTTCCTTCCTTCCCTTCCTTCCTTTTCTTTTCTTTTCTTTTCGAGTTTCTGCGAGGCTCAGCGCACTTCACAAAGCCGCTGAAGCCCCCGTCGCGGGGGAGGCTCAGGTGGGTCTGAAAGGCAGGCAGGTGGCACAAAAGGCGACGGAGCAGTTAGGTCAACCTCTCCCTTTCTTCCTCTCTGGGAGTTGCCCTGGCTGCTGCTGCGACTACTAACTAACGCTGGGCGAAGGCTGGCTGCTTGTTCTTTTCGGGTTCCCGACCTTTCTTCCCCCCTCCCCCCCCCCCACTTCCACTTTCTTTTATGACTTCTGGAGTGGCGTCTCCAGCGCCGAAGGGAAAGGGAAAGTCCCCGCGGCGAGAGTCAGAAATGAAAACGAAAGGACTTTTGCTTACCCGATCGCTGCCACGGCGGAGCGGCGAGGAATCCGGACGCATCCCCGTAATCCATTGCCTTTGGTCGGGAGCCACGTCCAGTTGTAGCCTGAAGTGCGGCAGGCGCCGGGCAGGGCAGGGCAGGTAAAGGAAAGGGGAGCTTTTGTGGCCAAGGCTCAACAAGCTGCCCCGCTGGCTAGGCTCGCCGCCCCGCGCCCACACACACACACACACACACACACACACCAGCTGCCGCCGTTCCCCGCCCACCCGCCTTGCCCGCACTCCGCGCCTAGTCAAGGGACGGCGAAGGCGAGGAGACCGGACCGGCTGGGGGCAGCGCTAGGGACGGCGGCTTTGCAATAAGCCTTCCCCCGGTTCGGTCGGAGAGCCGAGCCTAGCCAGCCGGAATGCGCCACACATCGGAGACAAAGGTTGGGAAAAGACGGGGGTTGAGGCGCTGGGAAAGGAGAATGCAGGGGTGAAATTCGCCAGGGAAATCAGGCAGGGGGGGAGAGGGGAAGGGGGGGGGGGAAGAGGGCCCGGAGAGCCAGCAGCGCTCGCACATGACCAGGCGCAGCCAATGACGCGCCCAAGTCGGTCGTAAAAGGTCTATTACCGAGCTGTAAATTTTCTTCAAACAAAAAGGAATTTACTGCAATTCCTTGCGGATTTTTTTTTTTAAAGCTCAGGCCGCTGCAGCTGCCCCCCACCCCACCCCGCCCCCCCAGTAGAATACGTTTTCCTCTTTCTCTCTCCCTCCCTCCTGCTCCCGCCATTGCGCCTTCCTGCTCCCAGCTCCACCAGAACCGCGTCCGAGGCCTGAGAGAGAGAGAGAGAGAGAGGCTGCTGAGTGGGCCTGAATTACGCAGTTAAAAAGAGGGAGGGAAGCCAGAGGGTGGTCTGTAGAGCCAAGCTTGCAGAGGAGTCTCCTTCTGTGGTGGATTTTCTCATTCAGGCCCAGTTGGAAGCGGCACGATCCCGTGCTTGAGTGCTAGGCGAGGCAGTCTTTCTGTCTCCTAAGCGCGGGACAAAAAAACCAGTCGCCCTCCCTTCCTGGCTAAGAGGCTGTAGCAGGCCTGTCAAGGTAGAAACCCAGCCCACTTCGTTCTAATCTTTTCTTGTCCCGTTTTCCAAATGTGGGAGATCCTTCACATCAAAACTATCTACTATCTATCTATCTATCTATCTATCTATCTATCTATCTATCTATCTATCTATCTATCTATCTATCTCAGTTTGGAGTACAGTGTTGGAAATTGCTGTTCAGGCAGGAGCAGGGCCCTCCTTGAGAAAGGGTTACTTCTAGCGGGTGGTGCCTAAAGCAACTTTCTTGGGGGAACAAATAAAAATCAGACTCTCTTTCTGGTTGCAGAAAATGGCTTTCTCCAGATAAGTCTTGTGGGGATCCAGTAGCCTTGCAGCCTGGAGAAGTGCGGAACTCCAAAGAAGGAAGAATGTGCCAAGAATTGCCAAAGAAAAAAGAAAGAAAGGGAAACCATTGGCTTTCCAAATCTCAGCTGAATCTGGATATACCACTCTGCCACAGTGACTTGTTCCTCTATTCTTTTTTCTTAGGGCATTTAGCCATTCAAAGCCCCTCCTCTTTTTTTAAAATCACCATTGCCTAAATCTTGTTGTATTGGGTGCTGTTTATGTAGAGTGGAGGAAAATAAATCTTTTAGCCATTGTTGACTGCAATTCTTGACAAGTTGGTACATGATTCTTTTCAAAAAGAAAAACAAAACAAAACACCCCTAAAAATGAAATCTTAACTAGTTGTTGAAAATGACTATTTTTATGTGGACATAAAGTATGGAAAACACTTTCTTCTAAGGAAGATGTTAAAGCTGGAAATGGAAGCAAAATAAATCAATATTTTCAGTGCGCTAGATCCAGAAAAGCAAACAAGTGAAATCTGCTGTAGTAAATGTTTTTGCCTCTTGTTGTAATCCCATTAATGCTTTCCCTCTCTGTGTGAAGTTGTATGAAATAAACATTTATGGGTCATATTGTGGAATTGGTTTATGAAGTGGGCTGTAGAAGGCAAGTGGCCATCCTGGCAGGTTCCTGCCCACTTGGGTTTTGCTCCCAAATCAGTAACACAAATAGATTCGGTTTCAATGTTTAAAATGTAGATGTGTCACCTTGAAGGACTATATAGTCTCTGCTTCCAAAATGGCTGCTGCCTTCAAAGAAAGGACACAAAGGGCGGTGTTGCTTTTGATGCCAATTTTTAGACTTGCCCAGAAGAGGTGATTTAACTATAGAATGCTATAGAAAAATAACACTTTATACTTACCAAAAGAACAGCAATGAATAGGGCTTTCCTCAATCAAAGCATCGTAGTTTAATTTTGAACTTTGCCTAAAAGTGAGGCACCCACTTTGTTCAACTTGGGAAAACCTTCAGTTAAGGTGCTGCCCATTTTATGAAATCTCCAAAATCCAACACAGACACACCTGCCCCCCCATTGATTCTATCAACTTTGAATCGATCCTCCTTGCGTGCATATATTCACCTGGAAGTAAGTTCCACCTAACCTTTCAGGACTTAACTTCTGAGGAAGCTGTACTTGTACAAAGCCTGTATTGCAACATTCAGCCAAGTCTGGCTGTTCTTCAGCAACAAATATTTCATCTCTATTTTATTATTATTATTATTATTATTTTTAGATTTAGTATAGACACCGCTCCAGTGGACTCTGGATGGCTTACAAAATATAATACTAAATTGGAACAATTGAAAATATTTACTACACACTGTCCATTGTTTAATATGTATACTTAGAACAAATACACTTTCTCCTTTGCCAGATTTTTGAGCGGCTTCCCTAGACTTAATCTGTATAAGTTAAGGGCAGAATGACCAGCAAGGCGTTTTGCCGCATTTATGCAAATTCCTGCACCAAATCGTCTGCTTTGCAGTTTTTGCCGCAGACCCTTCACGTGGATGAGCTCCCAGCCTGCTACTGTAATGCTGAAAATACAGGGTGGGGGGTGTATGTTTCAGAGAGGGAGGGACCCCTTTGGATCCAAGAAAGAAACTGGCTACGCTAATGGTTCAGCAGATAGTCCATAGAGCAAAGAACTCTATGTGTGCAACATTCATCCAAGCCCAAACTAGTTTTCGTAAAAGAAAATATTTATACGGTGGGAGGAGGGGAAGCTTCTATACACAAGTTATGAAAAAACAGCTCTGAGGTGGCAGAAATATACAGGGCAATGACCCTCAGTTTCTAAGTTTTCAAAAAGCTCTGAAGAAGTGTAGTTTATCAAGAAGTGTAGTTTATCGCAAAGGGCAGTGTTGCCAGAGACTGTTCTCAGCTTGCCTTTTAGCACTTTGGGGTACTTCTGATCTTTGGGGGAGGGAGGAAGGAAGGAAAGAGAAGAAGAGAAAGAAGACTGACATTTTAAAAAATATCTTGGTTAGCAGTGCAATAAGAACAAGGTTCCTATAGCTAGTGTGTTGTTGGTTTCAAAAAGATGTAACCCTGATTCACTGTATGGAATGCTGCCTTCTATGTACTGGTCAGTTGTAAACCTATCCCTTTCAACTACTGATTTCTACATACCATGGATGGCACCCATATTCCCCACTGCCAGCTGAGGTTGATAGGTGCAGGAATTCCAAAGACGGGGCTGTAAATTGCTGGAGGAAGCACTATTCTAAACAATTATCTTGGAGCTGTGAAATGAAAGCCGTTCAGATGACAGCCTTCTGAACCACAATCAACCAGGGGCTTCTTGATGGAGAAAGCTCTTTGTTTAGCTTAGCTGCATCTTCAAGGCAGAAGAGCATCCTGTTTAAAATTGTCAGGAGAATATTAATGGTTTCTTCATTGGGCAATGTGGAAAAAAACCAATTCCTCATTAAAGGCTATAAATGCGAGTTTGGACTACATCATACAATTTCATTGAAATAAATGGAGCTTATAGGATAATAATTGCCATAGATACAGAAAAGTGCCACTTTATCTTTTTTTTTTCTTGTATTGTGGGGTAGGTGGATCTCCACATGGGTGAGTGAGGAGAATTATACTAGAGAAAATAATGTAAAATAAAACAGTTGTGTACAAGCTTACACACCAGAAAAAAACAGGGTAACAGGCCAATCCCTCTCAGTAATTCCATTGTAAATTATAAAGTGGGGGGGGGGGGAGTTATTTGTAAAAATAATAAACGCAGGATACAAATAAATAAAAGTAAACATTCAATAAATGCACACAAGCAAACTCATTCCGTTTTCTAAATAGAGAAGGAAGCGGAAATGAATTTACCAGGGAGAAGTTCAGCCAAACTCTGGAGGAATCTATGAACCTCCTACCTAATATCTACAAACATGACACACACACTGGCCACATGCTCCAGCATAAAGGTGAAGGTGCTTAAACAGGCTTTTCTTTTTCTATGAGATCTGGGGCTGCTATAGACCCGTGAGCTTCATTGTTACTAACTGCAGTTTGCACCTAATTTATGGCAACAGCATGGTAGTTAAGAACCTGAGCTGCAGAATCTTGTTGCCACCTTCAACGCAAATCACAAATTTCAAATCTTGGCCCAGTTGTTCCAGAATTTTAAAGATGGTTTTAGGTAAGCTAGCCTCTCCTTTTCACCCTGCAATACAAGGATCCCACTATATTGGTCCCTCTGCTGCAAGGCTTTCAGAGAGAAGGTATGTAGGGATGTCCTAGCTGTTTCTTAGGACCGCCTCCTCGAGGTTCCTTTGTGTCTGATTCCGCAACCAGGCTTCTGACCATCTTCATATCTTCCTAGATATAGACCAGCATGCTTGGACTGCTATTTACAGGAAGAAAAGAAAGAAGACACTGCACCAATCGAAATGAAAGCACCACTCCCAAAAGGAAGATAATCCCAGCAGATCGCGCCTAGTAGCCAGAATGACTGAGACTGCTCATTTTTTAAATAGGGGATAGCTGGTTTTGGAAATACCCAGATTAAAGATAATCCCACCAGATCTCCTAGTTAGTCAGAATGACTACGGAAAGGCAAGTGTTTATAAATAGGGAATAACTGATATTTTTTTTTGAATTGAGTTATTTATGAAAATTGAATAAGAATCACGTTTCCAACCAAACTTCTATTTCACCCTAAATTGTAAAAAGACCCACCATATTTACATGCAAGTTTGATAGATTGTATGTGGATAGCACACTGGATATGTAACTAGAAGGCCTTTTCCAGATACCAAAATCCAGCATTGTCTTCAAGAAGATCCCTAGGAACTTTGGGGGTGGTGAATATGTGAGCACAAACACAAACTACCCAACCTCATTCTGGTCAAGCCTATTATCAGTAAAAACAGCCCATGTATGGCTCAGCGAGTCATGCATATGCAGAAGAACATTGTGTGCAATTAGTAAGCCATGACTACATCAACTAACCTTGAATAAGCCTGCGCTTAATGTTACAAGGCTACAAGGCGAGAAAGAGAAAGAAGCATGCATTTAAATGTATATACCCTTCTCAACAATATGTGAGAATACACAATATTCATTCTCAACAATATACACGAGAATGTACAATATTTCATTCTAACAATATGCGAGAATACACAACATTCATTCTCAACCATGTATATGAGAATATAATATACAATAATCATTCTCTACAGCGGACTCGTACAGGAGCAACATTAGGTGCGGAGAATGGTCTCTGCAGCCCACGTTTTTGGAGAGAAGTCAGCCTTGGTTTGTTGGCCTTCACTCTCTCCCAAATCAGAGGAAACCGGCGCTTGCTTTGAAACCCCATGAAAATCAATCGGAAGTTGAGATCTTCGCACTCGCGTCCCCAGCAGGAATCTAGGGGGTTTTGCGGTCACAGTGGGACTCGGCGGCCTGCGGGACAGAAGCTCGGCGGCCTTAAATACTTGCTGCCTTCCACTCAACCCTAATCTAGCTGTTCTTTCCAGCGTGCACAGCGAAACGCGTTTACCTGAACCTGGACCGTATGAAACAAAACGGGCTTCGCCTTCCGCCCGAAACATGGACTTCGATTTCCCGTCTCAGGCGCTGGGCTCACGGCTCGGTTCTCGAGGCAGGCACAGCTTTCCCAGAGAGGAGGGCAACGAAGGCTGGAAGGGGATCCCGGAACAAAGCGCTTTCGAGGTCCCTTCGGAGAAACGGGGCCCAAATGCCTCCGTAGCTTACCCGCTTGCCTTGAGCTATTTTCTACGATAGACGGAAGATATGAAGGAAGAAGCCGGGTCATAAATAACACGTCGGATTTTTTTTATTATTATTTTGATTATCGATAATAAGAAAAAATAATCAGTGTTTAATTAAAATATTTCCTTGTGTCCCTCATCGGCCCACAAATTATTTCTTTTCTTAATTAACTTAGTTGAGGAGAAAGAAGGGGGAACTGAAGAATTTGAAAGAAGTGCACTTAGCTGGTTTGATTCTGAAAGTATAATAACTTTCCGTCCTTGGAGAAAAAAATGAAATCCCCAGTAAAAATCCGCAGGTAAAAAAACTGCTACCCTTTTTAGTATCAAAGGCCAGGGAGAAATGGGGAAGGAAGGAAGGAAGGAAGGAAGGAAGGAAGGAAGGAAGGAAGGAAGGAAGGAAGGAAGGAAGA